CTGGGAAGTGGCTGTAGGTAGAGAGGAGGTCCACAGGATGAGCCCCAAATGCTGCAGTGGGAGGAGGGAGGAGTGGAAGAGGAGTCAGGAGAGTATACAAAGGAGCAGTGACCAGAGGGATGGAACCCTTTCCATGAAAGCAGTGGGAAAGCCCAGATTTTGCCAGGCAGAGGACGTGGTCATGAAGAAATGAACACTGAGGATTAAGTAGTGAAGTAAGAGATACACACCCCCAGTGACTTCCAGCCAAGTGATTTCGGTGGTGCTGTGGGGATGAAGGGTGCAGAAGGTTGTAGGAGAAAGCAGGAAAAGTCGAGAGAAGTAGAAGCAGCTTGAGATGTCTGGTAGGAGCGGAAAGTGGGAAGGAGCTTAGAAGGTAAGCACAATTTCACTTGGGTTAGAATTTAGATGCTTAACTTATAAAATATTCTAATATAAAGAAAATTTTGCTGGGGCCGGTGAGGTAGCTCAGCGGTCTAAAGCACCTGCTTAGGCAAGCGTTCGGGGACCACTGTTGGATCCTGGCACCACATGCTGCGCCAGCCCCACCCCCAGGGTAGGCTGAGCTGGCCACAACTTTTTGTTGTTGTTTTTGCTTTTTTAATATAAGAATTGAAGTCTGACAATAGGCTTGCTGGGGAATTCATGTGGAGAACAGAAGCGGGCATGAGTGGGGTCAGTGGAAGTACGCATGGCTGCAGAAATTTGAATTGAACAATTAAACTGTTCATTTCCCCCTTGAATGCTCTATTTCCTGCCAGACCCTAACACAGCTTACTCAAGAACTAAATCCTACAAAAGACCCAAATCTTACAAAAAATACTTTGAATCTATGGGCAAGTTTGGCCTGGCCTTAGCTGTCGCAGGAGGTGTGGTGAGCTCTGCCTTATACAATGTGGACACTGGGCACAGAGCCTTCATCCTTTGACCGATTCCGTGGAGTGCAGGACATCGTGGTAGGGAGGCACTCACTTTCTCATCCCGTATGTACGGAAACTAATGATGTGACTGCCCCTCTCACCATGTAACGTGCCGCCCGGTCACCACTGGCGGCAAAGATTCGCAGAACGTCGGCGTCACCCTGCGCATTCTTTTCCCGCCCGCCGCCAGCCAGCCGCAGGCATCTTCACCAGTGTCGGCAAAGATGAGGACAAGCGCAGGTGAGACCCGCAGGTCCATGGGAACTACCGCCTTCCACTGGTCCTTGAATCTTCAGTAAAGGACAAGGAGGCGGCGCCGGCCGCACCAGGGAGCTGCTCACCCCGAGAGAGCTGGTCTCCAGGCAGGTGGGCAATGACCTCACAGAGCAAGCAGCCACCTTCCTCCTGATTCTGGACACGATGCATCTGATCTTCGGGAAGGAGGTCACAGAAGCCGTGGAAACCAAATGGGTGGCTCGGTAGGAAGCGGAGAGGGCCAGACTCGTGGTGGGAAAGGCCGAGCTGCAGAAGGCGGCCGTCGTCTCCTCAGAGGGCGACTCCGAGGCAGCCGAGCTGATTCCCAGCCCACGGGCCCCCGCGGGCGACGGCCTGATGGAGCTGCGGAGCTGGAAGCCACCACGGACGTTGCACACCAGCTGTCGCGCTCGGTCGTGCAACATCACCCGCTGCCTGGGCAGCCGGTGCTCCTGCAGCTGCCGCAGCGAGCCCGCCCTGCGCCCCTCAGCCGGCTGCTCCCGGAATGCACGCAAGCGCGGTGCCTTCTTATGTCTCACCGCGGAAATGGATCGCTGTGACGTTTCGTGATTGAGCTAGTGACAGAAATAAAGGCAAGATCACTTCCGCCCTCCGATTCTCCATGAAACTCTTTCGTTCTTCCCATGCCCATCTATTTTTTATCCACTTCCCTTCCAGAAGTTGTCACATGGCTCCAAAGAGCGGCTCCGGCCTGAGGGCGCCCGGGCCTGGGCACTGGCAGTGGACAGGACAAAGGGGGGGGCGGTGTGGCAAGGAATGAGGGGGCGCTGCTGGCCTTCCCAGGAGGCCGGCGCCGCCTCCTTGTCCTTTACTGAAGATTCAAGGACCAGTGGAAGGCGGTAGTTCCCCGTAACGCCTGCAGATATGCTGACATCTGCCCCTGCGGAGGTGAGTGGGCCTCGCCTCGCTGTCCCCCGGGTCCTAGAACCAGGACGGACCTAGATAGTGAGGCGAGAGGAGCCGCAACCCAGACACGACCTGCTGGAGACTTCGGCCCCAGCGCCTGAAGGAATCCCAGCTTGAAGGAACCGGGCCGGCCCAAGACCTGCATCCTGCGTTCTGCTGCTCCTGGGGCTGCGCCAGGGCCCCACGGAATCAATCAGGGGAAGACTGCACAGTCACTAAACAGCACCTAGCCCTTAAAAAAAAGAAAAGAATTTAAGGCTTTCCTGGTAACATGGGGTCCGTTCAGTGTGGAAAGAGGAAACAGACGTGTAGTGGATTGTCCGGACGAATCCGTGGTTTCTGTGCCGTCTCCCCACCTTCGTTGTTTCCAGGAAAACCCGTGTGCGTAGGATGTATGCAGCCACGGCAGAGTGCGGAGCCCACTTCCCGAGTGGGTCGCCGCCCTCCTGGGTCGGTCCTGAGCCGGCCGGTGCCTGCTGCTCCGTGGGCTGCGCTGTACTGCGTCTCACACTGTTGTTTTCTTCTCGCCCACAACAGCTCTGTGTCAACATGACCAACGAGCGGGTGCACCACTATATCAATGACGTGCTTTTCCTGCAAGAACAAACAGAATGTGTACAGGAGGGGGTTGCCATGGAAACGGCATATTCTCCTGGTAACCAGGCTGGAGTTTTGGATTTCTTTTTCCAGGTATTCATATAATATAATTAGATACTTAATAGAGTACATGCACTTGAAATGTACCGGAGACAAAGAATTTTCTTTCTAAAGGTTCTGTTTTTGAGATAGCTGTATATGTAAAGGTCTGCAGTGACTCTGTAACATTTCAGAATCCAGTGAGGGGCAGAAGTTACCTTCTCCTAAAGGGAAATTGGAGGAATAACCAATTCATTGAAAGGAGGACAAGCATAAGAACACTTCGGTGTAAAACTTGTCACCATTTTTCACTTGCTATGATTAATACTCTTTTTTGGCAATTACACAAGACCACTGAGCAAACTTTATGCTTTATAAAATAATCTTGATGAGTGATATTATGAAACCAATTCAATAGAATATTTTTTGCTTATCTCCAGTGTCTAAAATCTATATTTTGTAAGCAAAGTATATACATATATAATATTTGATTAAATTTAAGTGGCTTGGGGTGTCTGCAGGTGTTGATACTTCTCTTTATTGTTTTACTTATAGTGAAAAAGCTTTGATACAGGAATCACTACCTACACACACAAATCTTTCAGACAAACAGCAGTTTCTCTCTCTGTGTGTGTGCGTGTGTGTGTCTGTGT